CTTTTTACACTGAGCTACATCCCATCCTTTTTATTTTTTATTTTTGATTTTGAGACAGGTTTTCACTAACTCCCTAAGTTGCCCATTCTGGGCTTGAATCTTCTCTTCTCAGCCTCCCAGAATGCTGGGATTACAGTCATGCATCACACACCTGGCTGAGGAGGAGAATCATTAAACTTCACAAAGGAATGAGAGGACACGAGTTAGGGTGCAGAGAGGCTGCTGTGCATGGGAGGACTCTATGAAGGCATGAGCAGATGACAGAGATGAAAAGGACGGCTGCTTAGGGAGGCAGAATTGATGGGACTGAGTGACCAGCTCGTTGTGAGCAATTTAGATGACATGCTTATATTCACATTTGAAATTAAAATAATTTGGAAGTCCAAATACTGTGAGTTACCATTTATGGAGTAATTGCAATAGGCCACTTACATAAAAAGTAACAACCTCATTTTATATTTACTACTTATTCTTGACAAAAATATTGAGTTTTTACCTTAATGCATCTCTTAACATTTTAAATTTAAACTTACTATTATTATCTATGGTTTGAGAGTATGAAAGTGCTACCTCCATGATATTTTGGTTAATTCAGCCTTTATTGTAGATTCTTTACAGACATTTTTACATTATTTACAACAAAGGAAGTAATATATATTTGTTGCAGTTATAGAAAGGTAAATGAGAAAAATGTCACATACAGACTCCTCTAGGCTTCATCTCCTTAATTCTTTATGACAATATTTCGATACATATTTAGCAGTAACAAAAACCTTGTATTCCTATTTTACTTCTTAGTTTTGATTAATGAGATGAGTAAGCACTGAAAAACTTTGAGAGCTTGATGTTTGAGGTGAGGCCTGAATGGGCTGGTTCTTTCACTGCTTTTTCCTTACCATTTGTGATCCTATATGTATTTATTTTTTTGTCCAGGTTTAAGAGCAGGATTAGCTGCCTCGATTGCTGGGAGTTCTATTATCAACAAAATGTTACTAGCAAATAGCGATCCTTTTGGTGCAACGCCGTTTATTGACCCAGACCTAGATTCATTGTAAGAAAATGCCTTTCCAATTATTTTATTTTGGCTATGCTTATTTCTGTTTTATATGAATTGTAACATTTTAAATGTATCACAGTATATATGGCTCCATGTACAAAAAAGAGTGATTGAAAAATTGAGAAGTTCATAATGATGGGCACATTGAGACCTTTAAAATTCTGTGATCTTTATAGTCTGTCTCTGAGGCAGCTCCCTTTCCAGCCTTTTCTCTGTAGTGCAACACTCGAAAAGGAAAGCCCAGCTTCTGCCCACTTTTCCTTGGAGACATTTACTTAATAGTGCCTCTCCATTTATATTTATGCCATTCTCCTCAGTTCCTTTCTTCTCAGTCTTATTGAATCTGCCATCTTTCCATACTCAGCATCTAGGGCTACTGATTTCAGGAAGCTTCTGGGCCACATTGATCTTTCCCCTTCTTACAATTCCTAAAACTATTTTTGACACTTCTCTTTCTTTTACTTCCATTTTAATTTTGCTTTTGTTATATCTTATTTCTGTAATGATATTCCTCAAGGACAGTATTATGCTTTAAACTTTAAAAAATACGTAGAAGAATGAATTGAATCGACCAGGTTTTGGCTCAATAATTACTAGAGACTTTCTTTTTTTCTAAATTAATTTAATTGGTTCATTTTAGGTATACAATGCAATGACATTCATCATTGGAAATTTGCACCTTTACATCATCTCTCTTGGTTCTTATTTTTCCCCCTTCCCCTGCCCTCCCTTCAACCCCTCCATCCCTCCCT